ATATATATATATATATATATATATATATATATATATATATTAATATAATATTAATATATATATATTAAGATATATGGTGTATTATATATTTAAGTTATACCTTGGTTTGCTATTGAGTTACAGCTGTTTCAAGCTCATGACTGGAATATTATACAATTGCTTTCTAGCGTACCCTTCCCTCTCTATTCTTGTTACCGATTGAATTCAATATCGCAAACTTACACCCTGGTTTGCCTTGGCACGACTGGTTATGCGCAAACGAGTCTACTAAGGGGTCCGAGATTACTAACTACTAAACGGTCTACGAAGGGTGATCGATGAACCAGCGCTGATTTGATTTCTCCTTCGCAGTGTGACTCTTTACGAAGGATATGGGAAACCATCAATCAATGACCTCTGAACAACTAATCGCCTGCACTTACGTCTAATTGTGCGCTGCGCCCTGGATAGAATGTGCCACGACTGAATCTCATCATTTCAGAAGAACTCACCCTTGACTTAGCGCCGATCGAAGAACATCAAAAACCACTAACGGGCTTGTTTTCGGGGAACAGTAAGTTTGTTTCTACAGTATTGAATTTTCTGCTTTTGCTGATCCACTTCAGTAACTTACCTCAATATTTTTCATGAACTGGATTATTTTAAACATTAAGTGACTGATGTAGTCTGCCACGACTACTCAGCAGTACGTGGTTTCAAATTTCCATTTGATTTCGAATTGAGGTCTGGATATACTTCAAAAGTTCAAATGCTGTTAACGAATGTAGAAATCAAAACCGACATACATATGTGTTGACCAAAAAAATTTCGAGAGCGCAAAACTCGCTTGTTAAAATTTGGAGATAGTCATTCGAAGCGTGCGGTTGTTTGCAAGTACAGCAAGCGTAGACATAACGCAGTGGTAGTGCTCTTCCTTTTTAGACGACGAGTGAAGGCTTGCTCTTCGTCGTTGATGACCTTTTGCACAACTCGCCTTCTTTTTATGATAAGCTTTTATCTTATTGTCTGACATTTTTTCGCGACTCATCGCACTCACTCATCCTAACTCGACAAGTGTCTTAGATTGAGATGGCGTCACCGAATCGCCTCCCAGATCACTTCCCAGTCACTGAATGCAATCTTTTAGTTGAGCCGATGGGTAGGATACAATTCCAATCCGCACTTTCCAAAACGCATGTGCGAGTATACAGAAGCTATAAATTGACCCAACACAATAGAAACAGGAGACCATAGCCTGATATACCTGCGTTTCTGAGCAAATACCGGTAACTTTGTACCCGCGATTTACTTCCCTATCCGCGACGTCGTCCCACCACCAGTCGGCTAAAGATCCTTCAGTGTGAAAAGAACCCAGTGAAAGAGATTCGTGGTCCCGAGAATTTTTCGTGTTTGCCTTATATTTATACAGCTGAGGGCTCACTCTGTATTTCTAAATACCAAAAAACAAATCTCAGCTTCCAGCCCATCAATATTTCAGTAGTTCTTAGGTCTGTTGCTACATGCGGCGCGACACTATACTCAAACAGGTAGTCACTCTTCATCAAATAGCAGGCCACTCTTTGCCACCTCCGGCTTGCCTGCTCACAGCCCTTCATCGAGCACATTTTCAAATGTTCGCCCGATCTTTCTGCTCGCCATTGGAAGCATGGTGAAGGCGGGGTAAATAGCTGTCCAATCCCACGGTCAATCTTTACTGTACATAACATGCTAGCGGAGGTCTGTCTGTGTGTCTGTGCGTGTCTGTGTCTGAAATCCGATGTCACCTGAAGGAACACTTAGAGAGGTCTGATCAAGTTTGGAATGGATTAAAAAACAGCACATCTGAGTCTAGCAGAATTCGGCTAATAGGGAGTGGTACATGCGCACGAGTTGGGCGGTGCAGTAGGAGAAACTTTTTAATTAGGTTTCACAACAGTCCAGACGCAGGGAAAAAACGAGCAAAGGTGAATGATGGGCCAACAAATGACGGAGTGGCCTCGCAGTGACGGTGCATTCCACGTTAATCGCAACTCTCATAACTCGAGTCAACGAAGGCGAGGCCAGAAAAAAGTAGTTAAAGTAGTAAGCAATACGCGATACGCGCTGGGCATGCGTAAACTAAGCGAAGCCCCTCCTACGATGGACGGGGCGTGCATTCAAAGTCAGTGTGTACGACCAGCGACTAGGTGGTCAGCTATTTTAGGACTGCGTTTACAATTTTCCTGCCACATAATAGAACGGCCTATGAAACACTATCTAGGTGATAACCAAAAGGAAAAAGCCCAAATACCAATCGACCAGTTGGGCTAAGCACGCTAACTTGTGCGTTGTATATTTACGACCGCTCATCTGCGTATAGTCATTCAGCGGAATATTTGATGTATCAGAATGGGACAGTTCCCATGAGATTCGAATGCTGGGATCGCTTCAAGAGCATCCACTCGATATATTTAATTTGGGCAGAATTATTTGTGGTTCATCACAGCCCCCTCCTAAGTGCTGACACCTTCTACAATAAGAATTTGATCACCCCTCTTTTAGCTGCCCCTGACCATTCTCGGCATCCTAAAACGTTCTAAACAGGGTTATGGATTTTTGATCTTAGTCCCGCCAAATGCGGATTGAAAAAAACTGTTTCGAAGAAATTTGTGACATTTTGATCTTAGCACCGCCCACCTTAATCAGGTCCTGCAGTCTACGATTTGGTAACAATCTTTCCTTTGCCTCCATCCACTCTTTTCCCTCACTCCAAAATATAAGAAGGCGAGGGCAAGCGGGGTCTCGGTAGTGTAAGGGATAGAGCACGGTGCCCGGAAAGCACAAGTATGAATTCGAGTCCCGTCCGAGACTGAAGTTTTGTCCATAAATCGCCAACCTTAAGAGACTTTCGCTTCGCATACTGCGGCGTTAAAACA